GGAACAGGGTAACAGGTTTATCCAAGATTCTGATATGGTTCACCTTTTTTGTTGAAGTGCTTATTGCTGAATGTGATAGTCAAAGCCCTTTGTTTGATGTTAACTGTACAAAACCAATAATTAAAAACTAAGTTATGTTAGATAACCTTTAGTAGAAAAGCATTACTTCTAAATCAAGCTACCTGGACAGAAATTTAGTTAACAAACATGAGAACTTCAAAGAGTTTTGTATAAAGGACAATCTATACCATATGATTCAGGACATCAAATAAACCATTACAAAGAACAAACCAGATGCACACAGTTCCAAAGTCCATGATGAGAGGGGTCATCCTCAATTATACATTTGTGTCATTTTCATTATTCAAATGCTTAAAAGTTCTATCCAGAGTTTATCATATCAATTGATAAATACTACAAGAGAAACTGAACAATAACTACAAGAAGTTTAATACTGAAATTATAGTAGGATGTATTTGCATATTAGGGTGAGATAAAGGGTGATACTTTTCATGATTCTGTATCAAACAATCAAAAGAAAATCCTCAATAACACGATTTGAATGGGACACTGCTACACAAGGAATTAGATGCATTCCTGACCCGAAGCCCTCATCAGAAATTAGTAAAGCATATTATCTTTTACTATACTAAAATGAATACACCACTATTAATTTGAAGCAAAGTAATCACTATATGCAGAATAATTGGTGCATAGACATCTTAGATTGATATCCTCGTCTTGTGAGGAGATACATAGTTCTGGTTCAACTCAACAGCATCATAAATAATTTCTCCAACAATATTTTACAAAACATCACTGTAATGAGTGAAGTTTTAAAATACAGGTAAATAAGCATACCAGTTAGTATAGCCAATAAATTAGAGATATTTTTAGAAATATTAATTTATATTCACCCAATGTTAAAAGTGATTTAAATTAATTTCCTATTTTTCATGTCTCAGAATATCTCTAATTACATATCTACTATATTGTTTACAGTTATTTATCAAAAAGGTTGAGGAAAATAACATCTTTACTGATGGTTCCATGCTTCTGAGCTTCTTCATCACATAGCTTGCTAATCAAAGCTATTTTACCTGAAAAATTACTTCACAAGTAGGAAAGTAACATGCAAAAGCTATTCATTGTTCTGCCATGCTGAAAACTGCATATACACAGGAGATATTCTATTTATCCTAAGCACTTGCTGCACCCTCTTTTTCTTATATTTATCTTTTCTGTGATCTGTATAACAAACCAGAATTGAAGCACACACTTTTAGTCATTACCTACACTATAACCCTAAACTTCTAGTATTTCCTTATATAATAATTAGCTTAAGCTGTGTACACTGTTGTCTTTACACCTGCTCCTGTAATGCTGCTTTAAACAGCAAACTTGAGTCTTAGGGTTAGGACAGCAAAAATTCAGGTATAGTTCAGAAACAGGGGTGGCTCCCACCTTGGGAATAATGGAGTCGATCCACACCTGATGTGGGGTGGGGATAAACCTTGCTGAGTCTTTCTTTGTTCTTCCGCCTTAACAAGGATATGTCGTGACAGCATAACACAAGAAAGGTTTACCTCATTAATACAAGAAGGAACTAGAGGACTCATGCACACTTATTACCACATTTACCATTACCAGCTTCTCACTCATTTTTCTGTAGAGACTAACATATAAACATGTTAGAGTTTTCACACATCTGTGTACCCGTATAGTAGCCCTCAGCAAGGATTTCACTGACAATCCTCAAGATCACAGAGATGGGCACATGGGAATGCAGGCTGAGCTCAGAGAGGGGGCACATAGGAGAAAATTAGAGTCTTTTCCAAAGTAAACATGACCCTTTCCTGTTTTCCAATGTATAACAACTTAATCTTTTCTTATTACATCTCAGTAAGAAATAAGCTATACTGTTTATGTTCTGTGTGGTATGGTTTTGAAAAACCTCCACCACACATGCACAAGCACCCATGCACACACAGACAGAAGACACAGATTTTCTGCCAAGATCTACACAGGCAAAAACATTTGAGTAACCGTTGGTAAATGTCAAAGATCTGAGGCCCTTTCCCATCGGAGTTCTACTGCATTGCTCCTCCAGCTTCAGAGCAGCGGTGAGGTCCAGCGGAAAGTTCGGATGGGGATGATCTGTTTCTCAGTCCACACCTGGAGCCTTCTCCTCTGATGCAGGCACGGCTGGGCCCAGGGGCCACTCTTGCCCTGAGGACAGCAGGATCCACATCCACTCCCCAAATGTCATACCTAAGCAATTCTAAAATCTTTTTCCCTCTCTCTTAATAATGATCTGCAATGGTGGCATAACGCAATGGAAATTTACCTGCTGTTTGTACAACAGAGGTTCCTCATACAAGGTTGTTGTTACGACACATAAAAGATTTCCACGTATGCATGCGGGTACTTTACTTGAAGACACGCCAGAGCTCTTGTGCATTCATGGCCTTGCGCTGTAGCTCACGGCAGCTCTTTCGCTGGTTGACACCACCCTCACAGAGACAGTCATGTAGGAACTCAGGGTGAGGGCTGAGTAAAGGTACACAGGAAGAAGTTCTAAGGTCCTTTACAAAGTAATGGCAGTTTCTCCTGTTTTCCAACACATAGCAACTAAGTATTCTTGTCTCCTTAGCATTATCTAGATAATAAACAATCTCTGCTGCTCTTTTCCTACACAATATTATCTTAGTCCTCCACTGCATTATAAACATACACAATCATACTACAAAGTTGTCTGTTGAGATCTCCACCAGCTAAAAAGCATTAGAACCACCCCAGCTTGTAAGTTACATATTCACTAAGCACCTCTTAACTACAGTGTGTTGGTGTCATAAAGTAATTATTTAACTACAGTCATCGTTCCTCCAAACAGTTTTCCTTATTCCACACATCAGAAGTTTCTGTTTTTCTCCGGAGAATATCTGATCACTTCCATCAATGGTATCGCTCATTCTACTCTTTCCTGCTTTCATACATACAAGTCACTCCAGCACTTAAATAAATAATACAATCCAGAGTCACTGCAGGAGACATGCTAACAGACACAAATCCCTTTCGGTCCTTATATTTCCTGGTAGCAAAATCATTCCACTCATGTGTCTCAAGAGTTTCTTTGGTGTGCAGATTTTAACCCAACCTATCCCAAAATTCTTCACATATCTGATGTTACCAGCACACTATGTTAAATGCATTTTCAGCCTTACCTTTTAAAAGGCTTTTCAAACACCAGTTCTTGTCCTTTGTAAGCACCATACCTGGTTTGGGAAAAGACTCCTAAAGCAAATGTGAAGTACTCAACTGCTTCTCTCTGGTCCCTTTGAGAAGCCAAAAGACACAGACTGATGTGCTTGAACCCAGCCTCCTTGCCAGGCTGCTCCTCTGCACTGGGAAGGAGAGTGAAGGGAGGCCCCAGCGCAGGCGTGTGCTAGCGGAGACCAGCCTCACACATCTCGGGGAACCGCATCTGCCACTCTCTAGCCTTTAACGTTAAGGTTTACATTAAGGTTTGTCTTCACTGATAAAAACAAAACAAAACAAAAAAAACCCAACCAAAACACCAAACCACAACAAGCCTGCCAAAGTTATTTTCACATGTGCAAAACCTATGCTGGTCCTTTTCCCCCCTCTGGCTAGAAGAGCTTGGTGGAGACAAATGCTCTAGTTTGCTGTTAGGCAAGTAATTAACTGTGGATAAGCAGCTAGTTAAAAGGTACACACACCTCCTCACCCCTGTTCTGGAGGCATCACCTCTCCACAGCTTCTGCTCAGCAGACACCCTGCCATTAGACAAGAGCTTTACTTCTGGGGAATAAAAAGCCGAACCAGGTTTTCAGCATCACGATTAACCCAGGAGGAGGAAAAAAGTCAGTTTTAACAGCAAAAGGTGTTCACAGAAGACAAAAGGACTGCTACCTTGTCCCCAGAGGGATCCTGGGGGTGAGCTGAGGAGACTGCCAGGTTTCTGGAAACGAAGCCCAGGCCGGCGCCCGAGGGAGAGCCCCCGCACCACCA